ACGTGTGTGTGCCTGTGAGCAGGAGGAGGAGCAGAGGAAGAGAGAGAGAGAATCACAGACTCCCTGCTGATGGAGGAGCCTAACACAGGGCTCTATCTCACAACCCATGAAATCATGACCTAAGCTGAAATCAGGAGTCCGAGGCTTAACTGACTGAGCCACCCACTCACCCCCTAGTTCTCACAGTATAGAAAGTAGGTTTTACTATTAGTCATTTCTATTTTACAGATGAGGAAACTGAAGCAGACAGATTGGGTAGTTTGTCCCTATCACATATTTAGTAAGTGTAAAGCCTGGACTTGAACCCAGACTTCTCCCATTCTACAGCTTAACCCTATACTCCTTAACCCCCACCTCCAGCCCCACCTCCTGCCCCCACCCTTCCATGGGCATTAAGAAAAATGAATGTGGGCGTTACCTATAAGTGCTATTTCAGCAGAAGTGTCCTAGAAGTCTCAGCTTTAAATCATCACAAATGGAATCTCTCTGACGCTTCTAACAGAGATATACAGCTGCTTGGTGAAAACCATCAACCCTCACTTTGGCCAGCTAGGTGCTGGACACCTGTGCATATAAAGAGAAGACCCAAGAAAGAGAAAAGGTGAATCTCATGCCCCTGACTGGGAGCTTGATCTCCTGAGCCTGAAATCATGACCTGAGGTGAAATCAAGAGTCGGTTACTTAACTGACTGAGCCACCTAGGTGCCCTGGGCATTTTATTATCTTTTTTTAAATTGAGATTTATTTATTTATTTATTTATTGAGAGAGAGCGAACACACGTGCATGTGCTCAAGTAGGGGGGAGGGGCAGAGGGAGAGGAGAGAGAGAATCTCAAGCAGACTCCCTGCTGAGCGCGGAGCCCAATACAGGGCTTGATCTCATGACCTATGAAATCATGACCTGAGCCAAAATCAAGAGTGGGACACTTAACCAACTGAGCTACCCAGACCTCCCCTCCCCTGCCCCCCAGGGCATAATATTCTTAAGTTATGATGGTATTTCTCCCTGCCCCCAATCAAAGTTTATGACATGGTCCTTTTTTTTTTTAAATGATTTGCCTTTTCTGCTTAGATGCCTAAAGAATTATTTTGTGGGGCGCCTGGGTGGCTCAGTTGGTTAAGCGACTGCCTTCAGCTCAGGTCATGATCCTGGAGTCCCTGGATCGAGTCCCGCATCGGGCTCCC